TTTAAAATGTACAGCTATTATTAACTATACAGTCACCCTATTTTGCTATCAAATAGTAGGTCAGATTTATTCTTTTGAACTAAGACATAATGCTATTGCACACCAACTTTTATGTGCACTGGGAAACCAGAAAATTTGTTTGATTCGCTTTATTGAAACATTTGCTTTATTACAGTGGTTTGGAATCAAATCTATAATATTTCCAAAGTATGCCGGTATCTTTTCTCCTCTAACTACACACACACACACACACACACACACACACACACACGTATAGAGACAGAGAGACTTGCTCTGTCGCCAAGGCTGGAGTGCAGTGGCTCGATCTCAGCTCCCCGCAACCAGCACTTCCCAGGTTCAAGCGATCCTCCTATCTTAGGCCCCCAAATAGCTGGGATTACAGGCATGCACCACCACACCCGGCTAATTTTTAGTGTTTTTAGTAGAGGTGGGGTTCCTCCATGTTGGCCAGGCTGGTCTTGAGCTCCTGACGTCAAGTGATCTGACTGCCTCGGACTCCAAAAGTGCTGGGATTACAGGCGTGAGTCACTATACCCGGCCATCCTTTAACCATCTTTTCTTGATTTTTGCCTTTCCCAAATCCAGGTCTCATATTCAAAACAACAAAATTGTTAAGATGTTTTCATATCTAAACAACATTTGGGTGTTCTAAAGTAACCACCAGCTAACCCAATGGTTTGCTCCCATACTATCTATGAAAGGAATGACAAAAGGAATAATTCGGTTTGTATAGAATATTGTGCATTATAGTCATAACTGCTATGAGAACTCCCAAATCAGGGTGGTGTGCAGGTTAGGGCAGAGTTTTGGGAGAGGTGAATTGTTCTGTACAAAAAGGAGAAGAATCATAACGCTGCGGGGAGGGGAGGGACCTGGGAGAGGGGAGTGAGCAGCCAGCAGGGCGGGGCATCGCCTGAATGAAGGACAGAAGGTGAGAGCCCTTAGGGGCACAGCAGCACAAAAGACTTTGGGAGAAAAGGAATTAATGAGAGGGAATTTTAAGTTGTTTGCCATGGTGTGTGCTATGGGCCTCCTTCCCTCCTGTCACCCTTACACTGTCTTTAGAAAAGTCATTCTTTTTTTTGTGAAAGGGGATTCTCCTGGAAGTACTGAAGAATGCAGGGATGAACTGTTGGTTTGTTTCTGAGATGGAGTCTTGCTCTGTCACTCAGGCTGGAGTACAGTGGTGTGATCTCAGCTCACTGCAACCTTCACCTCTTGGGTTCAAGTGATTCTCATGCTCCAGCCCCCTGAGTAGCTGGGGTTACAGGCATGTGCCACCAGGCCTGGCTAATTTTCATATTTTTAGTAGAGACAGGGTTTCACCATGTTGGCCAGGGTGGTGTCAAACTCCTGACCTCAAGTGATCTGCTCACCTCAGCCTCCCAAACTGCTGGGATTATAGGCGTGAGCCACTGCACCTGGCCTGCAAGGATGAATTGTATGTGCGTGTTGATGCAAGGCAAAAACACATCATGAAGGGAAGCTGGAATGGAAATCTCCAGGATAAATTCCTGGAAATGAGAAAGACTTTCAAAAGCTGTGGAATTGAGGGGGTGTCAAGCTGAGATCTCAAGGGGTAATGGACCCAATTAATGCCTAGGTTCTAGGTGGGAGAAACAAGAAGTAGCATAAGGGATACATCTGACATGATGAAAAGATGGAGTTGGAGAATAGGAAGGCCCAGAGAAGGATGGGGAGATTTAGAAGGAGCTAGAGGGTTAAGGGTCTTCTGGACTAAATAGTGGGGGTGGGGGAGACTATGAGGTCACCTGGCACTCTTTGTCCTTCCCGTGCCCACTCTAGAGAAACTGAAGCCCAGACGCCAGCAGAGATTAAATCTTTTTTTTTTTTTTTTTGTCTCTCTTCCTACTTTTCTAAATGAATTATTACGTTAGCCCAGAGAGACAACTAAGATGGGAACTCTCAGGAAAGAAGACAGCATCATCATGGACAGGGAGAGGTTAGGGTTGAGACTAGGGCTTCTACTCAACACTCACAGACCATCTATCTGGATGTGGTAGAGGGGTTCAGGGAAAATTCCCAGCCAGGGATTGAATTATTAAGAGTTCAGAATAACCGAGGGGAAGCAGAGTCTTCACCCTGTTCATCAGTCCTTTCCATTTAGTTGTGCTGGCCAAGCCTTTCTTTTGTTTTAGGGCTGAATAGCAACACTGAGCCTCTGAAAGCTTCCAGTCGGAGGCTGGAGCCCTAGTGCTGTCCTTGTGGAGCTGAATCCCATCTCATGGAGCAAACCCTATTAGAGATTTTGTCCCCTTCCTCAAGAGAGGAATACACAGATAACCCTTCTCTACGGTTTTCAAAAGAAGAAAATAGAAAAACACTTTTACCCACGTTACAAATGAATAAAAAGGAAGTAACATAAAGCTCCGCTCCTGCAGTGGAGAAACACTATCCATGAGCACGGTCTACCTAGAGAGGAGAGACAGCATTGGACCTCAGCCCTCCTTCCTTTCTTGTCTTTCAGCATCAATGCAGAGAGAAGAGGAGCAGCAAAGAGGGTGCATTTCCAGGAAAGCGTCTTAGTCCGTTTGGGCTGCAATAACAGAATACCATAGGCCCATAGACTAAGTGGCTGAAATTGATCTCTCGCAGTTCTGAAGGGTGGGAAGGTCAAAATAAGGGCACTGGCAGACTCAGAATCTGGTAAGGCCCACTATGTCCTCACATGGTAAAACAGACAACGGGGTTCTCAAGGGTCTCTTTTATTAGGCCACTAATCCCATTCATGAAGGCTCCTCCCCCACAATCTACTCACCTCCCAAAGGCCCCACTTCCTAATACTGTTGGACCAGGGATTAGGATTTCAACACATGAACTGGGGGGATATAAACATTCAGTCAATAGTAGAAGGTTCTGCCTGTTCAGCCCAGAACTCTCAAGGTCTAACCTTAATCTCTCCTTTCCCATGAGGACCCCGGTCTACAGCCTCTAAGGCTGTGTCAGCTGCTAGAGCTCATTACTCTCAGAAGACAAAGCCCCCAGCAGGGACACTCAAAAAAAGGAATCTGAATCTGGAATACTTAGCTGATTGCCTGCTCTGTCCATCCCCTGAAATGAAAGAATGATAGAGACAGCCCATGGGCCTCACCCACTAGATGGCGCTGTGCGATGCAGTGGGAAGAGTAGCTAGAGGTGAACATTTGAGGTTCTGATTTTGGACAAATCATTTAACTTTCCTGAGGCTCAGATTCCTCCTTGAGATACACTTGGCCTGTATCCCCTACAGCACAGGTATATAGATCACACGGGATAATGTGTAAGAAAGCACTTTTAAGTATAACACGTGGTGACATACTTGAGCTTGTGGACTGTTGTCACTGACCACTCACTCTGTACCAGCGGCTGGGGCTGTCAGAGTCTAGTGTCCCAGGACCTTCCCCAGTCTTCTCTATGAACCCTTTGCTCCTACCTTCACCACATGTGACTGAGTCCCCTGGTTTCCCAGCTGGGAGAGATTGCCAGAAAGGAGCTTATGTTGACACTGGACTTGCTTGCTCTTTGGAAAAGCAGGTATTGATTAATCTCTTTGCCTTTCCTGCACCCCTTTTCCTAGCACGGCCTGTGTGACTCCAGGGCCCTAGTGCTGCTGGGGTTGGCATGGGAGGGGAATCCCACAGGAAGGGAATGTGAAAGAAAGCCCCAGCATGAGGAACAAGGGAAGTGCCACAATGCCCATGATGGAGAATGTAACTCCCACCAGGCCTGCTGGGCCTTCTACCTATCCCCATTCTGCTTTTTTTAACCCAGGAGGTGTTTGTTTTTTTTGAGATGGAGTCTTGCTCTGTCACCCAGGCTGGTGTGCAGTGGTACAATCTCACCTCACTGCAACCTCCACCTCCTGGGTTCAAGCGACTCTCCTGCCTCAGCCTCCTGAGTAGCTGGGATTACAGGCACCTGCCATCACACCTAGCTATTTTTTGCATTTTTTGTAGAGACAGGGTCACCATGTTTGCCAGGCTGGTCTTGAACTCCTGACCTCAAGCAATCCTTCTCCCTTGGCCTCCTAAAGTGCTGAGATTACAGGTGTGAGCCATCATGCCCAGCCCCCATTCTGCTTCTGGCTGAAGCTTGTATCTCCTGACTTTTGCAGCCATCTGGGCAGGCTTCCTGATGAGGGTAGCTTGCAGCAAGATGATTCCTGCTGGGAGGGTCAAGTAGATTGACCATAGAAGCTGAACTTCTGCTGTTTATGGGGGTTGGGGAAGATGCTACTGCCTTCAGTTCCCCTTTAACTTCCACAGCTCCTCTGCCTGGGCCCTCTCTCCCTCAGACACCTGTCTCTAGGCGACTCTGCCAGCAGGTGTTAAGACGGTAGCTTGTCTTCCTCAGCCCTGATATCCAGGAGCTCTAGAGATACAAGTCACAAAGAGAGTGCATTTCTAGGTTAGGGAAGAGAGAAATGCAGGAGAGATTTTTCCCAAACAATGAGAAAAATCAACTGAAATCTTCTGGGTCTACTTTACAGTCAATATCTTGCTGACATGCAAAACACCACGGGCTCCCAACCCGTGTGGAATACTGAAGACAAATCAGTCTGGACACTTCTCAGCAGCTCCCAGATCCCAAAACCTGGCAGAACCATTTGCAACATGAATAGAGCCAGCTTTTCTGGGGTCTGCCCTCTGCACAGCGAGTTCCTGGAGGTTACAGTCCTGGTCTCTGGTAGTTGATCCCCACTAGATTTTCCATTTGTCTTATTCAGTGCTCTCCTAATGGCCCCCAGCCTAATTTAGGCTGAAGAATCTGCATTGCATCCCCCGCCCCTGTCCCAATCCCAGCCCCACCTCAGGCCCACCTTCAGTCTTCTCTCCCATTCTAACTCTCACCCCAGATTAGGGCCTGTGGGGTATCTTTCCCTAGAGCCCAGAAAGAGGTACAGTCTCTCATCCCAAGGGAAATTCAATACCTGAATTGGCACTTATTGCAAAAGCAACTAGAATTTTTGTGGCATTTACCTTTTTTTTTTCTTTTGGTCCAAAGATCTCAGGAAACCTTGAATCCTTCGGCTCTCAACATTCCTCAGGATAGCGTGGCCTCTCAGACCTGAGCACCCATCTCCATCCTTGCTGGAGAATGTCCCGTCAGCAGCAGGATCTGGGGGCAATAGGAGCACCACCATTGAAAAAGCATCATCCAACACCAGCCCCACCTGGCACAGATACAGCCTGAGAACAAATTCTCATCCAAAGGGCAAGCGTGGACACATACAGTCCTCTGTGGTAAGGGTCAAAGCAGCAAGGAAAGATCTAAGAAAGATGGCACCAAGGTGACCGGAAGCTTCCTGTGAGAGGCCCAGCAAAGTTCCAGTAGGAGCCCAACTTGAGGAAGGATAAAAAGGAAAAAAAAATCTATTCTGGTGCTTAAAAAGCTACCCCATGAGGAGCCTAAGGTCCGACTCTGAGGAGACAAGAAATAGCTTGAAGTGTCACTAAAGGAATGACTTATCTGGGGTCCAAAAGAGAACCTAGACCAGAGCCATTCACTTGGACAAGAAGTTGGACGAATGTCCCAGGCTGGAGGCCATTGGCATGGTTCATGACTCTTGCCAACTATATACCGCCCCCTTCTGGGAAGTCCTGTATCTTCCTGGAAACTGAAACCTTGGCACCCTCAGTGAATCAGAAAACTGCCTGAATACCTCTTGGAAGCTTTCCTTTCTTGATTCAAGTGCTACATAGGCACTAGAAGCCCAGGTGGTATGGTTTTGAGTGTGACAGAGGTAGAGGTATAGCTTACCTCTCAAGGTGGTTGAATCCATAAAACTTAAGGTAACAGAGGCCCAATCATGGCTCTTCCCAAGTCCACCTTTCTCCCTCAGCCACCCATGCTTCCATGATGGCTAAGCTGAGGTTGCTTAGATCCTTGAAAGAAACCGTTAGATAAGTTGAAGCCAGCAGACAAGAGGATCACAAAAAAATTCAGTCCTCACCCCAAAGATTCCTTCCCTGCTCCCTCAGCTATAAGCAGGAAGTCCAGAAGGCCCTGAGATTTGGTCACAGAGGACTGTGAGTCCAAGAAGGAAAGCAGGCAAACTTTTAAGCTCCTCTTACCATCTTCATGGACAAACCATGTCAGAGTGAGACTGTAAGGGAGACAAGAGAGGCAGTCCAAAATCACTTCAAGTCAGACAATGGCAGGACATACCCAATGGATGACAGTGGAGTTATGTCCCAACAGACTCTGGCCATAGAGGAGCAGTACCTAGAGGCAGAGGACAGAGGGCAGAGAGTCTGAAGCGGTTCAGCACAGGGGAGAGCATCTTCTCAGAGTTTTCACTTTAGGAAAAAGATGTTGCAGATTTAGGGATTCCTTCAAAAGCCACGATATCGAGGAGATAGGAAGTCCAAGGAGACTCCAACTACTAAGCCACACCCAGAAGATGTCCTGAAAGCCAGTGAGCCAGAAGATGTCCAGAAGCTTAATGGCCATCTGAGTGGTCAAGGGCTCCAGTGACCAAGAAATGCCCCCCGTTACCAACAGTACTGGTGCCAAAGATCTGGAATGTCTAAGCCTTAAAGATGAGTTGAGGCTCAAACTGGAGGTAAAACCGCCAAGCCAGCCTCAGGTTTCCCAATGACGTGCCCCGTGCCTCAAATAGCCTAGCTACTCCATTTCCTTTTTGAGTGAGTTTTGATAGTTTGTGTCTTTCAAGGAATTGGTCTATTTCATCTAAGATATTCAATTTATGAGCATAGAGTTGTGTGTAGTATTCCCTTAATATCTTTTTAGTATCTGTAAGGTCTGTAGTAATGTCATCTTTTTCATTCCTGATACATTAGGAATCTTCTCTCTTTTTTTTCTTGGCCAATTGGGCTAGAAGTTTATCAACTTTATTAATCCTTTTAAATAACCAGGTTTTTGTTCACTAATATTCCTCTGTTGTTCCGTTTTCAATTTCATTGAGTTCTGCTACAATAAATCATTTAATTTCTGTTTTGTAACTTTTCTCTGGATGCTTTCAAAATAATTTTCACTACCTCTCATTTCCAGTAGATTAATGATGATGTGTCTGGACATTGTTTTCTTTGAATTTATCCTATTTCAGATTTGTGGAGCTGCTTCTTTTTCTCTTTTCATTCTTTCTTTTTTTTTTTGCTTTTAGACAGGGCCTTGTTCTTTCACCTAGGTTGGAGCGCAGTGTGCGGTGGTGCAATCATGGCTCACTGCAGTCTCAACCTCCCAGGCTCAAGTAATCCTTTCACCTCAGCTAATCCCAGCAGAACCTGAACTCCCAAGTCCGTTGGCAACTCTACTGCACCTCCAACACAGGCTCTGCTCCATCACCTGCCAACATTACAGCATGGCCTTTCTCCTAGGTCTGCCCACCTCTGCATCAGTAGAGCCACCTTATCCAGAGGGGCACAGCCAATCTTGGACTCCAAGCCTCCCCTTTACTGTTGACTCAAGTGACTGAGCTCAGACTTCCCATTCTGACTGTGGCAAGGTCCAGCCCTAGGTATGCAGGAAGAGCAATTCCTACCACTCACATAGCCTAGCTCACTACATGCAAGTAGACAGTGAACCAGTGGGTGGAGCTGACGAGTGAGTGGATCTGCAGGCAGACACTCCAGACTGGATGAACCACACAGTTTTGGCAAGCATTGGGTCAAGGAGCTCTCTGGTGGCTCAGCCCTGCCAGCAACATCATCCACATGGGCGCCTGTCTTCTGCCTGGAGGCACAGCACCTTATTCATAACCCTGTCTCTGGAAGAACAGAAAACATCAGTGCACCCTCAGGGACAAAGTTGCCCGGACTTAGCCAGTTTGCCTGTTCCAAATTGGCGCAACTCCACAGCCAATGTATGACCTGGGTGGTTTTTGGTATTGTGATCCATATGTTATGCTCTAGGAAAAAGTAAAAATGCCTCTAACCATATTTACTAAATGGAAGAGAGGGAGGATATATAGTTATCTATTTAAATATATATGTCTTATTTATTTAATTAATTAATTTATTTATTGAGATGGAGTCTCGCTCTGTCACCCAGGCTGAAGTGCAGTGCGCGATCTCAGCTCACTGCAAACTCCGCTTCCCAGGTTCAAGAAATTCTCCCGCCTTAGCCTCCCGAGTAGCTGGGATTATAGGCGTGTGCCACCACACCTGGCTATTTTTTGTATTTTTAGTACAGATGGGGTTTCACCACGTTGGCCGGGCTGGTCTCAAACTCCTGACCTCAAGTGATCCACCCGCCTCAGCCTCCCAAAGTGCTGGGATTACAGGTGTGAGCCACTGTGTCCGGCCTAACTTATTTATTAAGATGCACTAACATATCCAATCCATTCCAGCTTGAGTTCTAGACATTTTACTTTCCTCATGTTCCACATATAAAAATAATGCATGTTTGTGATTAGACAGAAAATTCATAATGTACTGAAAAGAATAAAGCAAAAAGTCCCCTTCTGCAGTGAGTCCCGAGAATCCTCCCCAAGGTAACCATTGTTAGCATATTTTTGTTTATCCTTCTAGAAATTTTCCACAGATGTGCAAACATGGGTTTGTATAACCTCCTCATTTTACATACATGAATGGGATAATACATACTTGCCATTTATATCCTATTCATATGTTTTCTCACATGGCTACATAAATAAATCCTTTAAAAATAAACAGTCTCTGACTTAGAAGCATGTGACATCCCAAAAATGTAACCTTTCTGTAATAACCTTTCTGGAACTCAATATAACCTTTCTGTAAATAACCTTTCTGGAACTCAAAATGAGTTTCAGAAAAATAATGTTCTAAATCGAGGAGTGGGATCAGGGGTTTTTCTGTAAAGGGCCAGATTGTATGTTCAGCTTTGCCCACCAGTCTCTGTTATGTCTTCTTCTCTGGGTTTTTTGTTTTTGTTTTGTTTTGCTTACAATCCTTTAAAAATGTAAAGACCAATCTTAGCTCTCAGGTAGTGCCAAAACAGGCTGTGGGCCAGATTTGGCCTTTGGACTATCATTTGCTGACCCCTTTTCTAAATGGTGGTTAGGGCCGCAGCTTAGCTCCCAGAAGCACAATTAATCCATAATATTACTGAGATACCAAACAAGATAATGTATTTTAAATTGCATTGTAAAGTCTATACTAATACGAAGAATTATATAGTTTTTCAGAGTTTAGCACGGGATAACTTTTAAAAACAAAAGTTAACACAGAATTTAAAAATATTTTTTATATCTTCAATTGGATGAAGAGTTAGATATATTAGTGAAGAATCTCAGAATTTTCAAGCTATCTATGAGGCAGAATATAACATTGTATTACATCTAATCCTACTTTTTAAATTTTTATTTATTTATTTTTTTAGATATGGGGTCTTGCTCTGTTGCCCAGACTGCAGGACAGTAGCATGATCATAGCTCACTGCAGCCTTGAACTCCTGGGCTCAAGCAATCCTCCTGCCTCAGCCTCCTGAGTAGGTGGGACTACAGGCGCACACCAGCATGCTTGGCTTCCTACCCTTTTTGTCAACACAACATAAACACACATTAACTCAAATGTGATTCCTGTGGTGTGAGTTCATATGCCAAGTGCCCCCCTCCACTGAAAAACAGAGCATATCACTGAGTTTCTGCACTGCGGGCATTGAAAATGCTCTTCTTCCATCTGGTGTTCACAGCCACATGCACTGGCCTAAACCTTGAACCTTCTGTGAATTGCATCTGCTGGAACCTACAAAGGCAGAGAAGGGGCAAAAAGGATAAGAATAGGGTAAATGCTGGAGAGTCATTTTATGACTTACCTAGATCAGGAAACTAAATTTTTTGTTTTTGTCTGAAATAGGGTCTTTGTCTGCGGCCCAGGCTGAAGTTCTGCGCCATGATCTCAGCTCACTGTAGCCTTGACTTCCTGGGTTCAGGTGATCCTCCCACCTCACTTCCCCTACCCCCCAAGTAGCTGGGACCACAGGCATGAGCCACCACACCCCGTTTTTTAATTTTGTGCTTATATAAATGTATATACATTTGTATATATACTTGTATACCAAAAAAAATTTTTTTAGAGATGGGCTTTTGCCATGTTACCCAGACTGGTTCCAAACTCCTGGTCTCAAACGATCTGCCCACCCTCTGTGGCCCAAAGTGCTAGGATTACAAGCATGAGCTGCCGTGCCGCACCAGGAAACTGATTTTTAACAACATAAACATCTCTATTATATATTTAATTAAGCTTTAAAACTTATGACTTGCCCCTTCTCCATCATGGAGGTAGGGCTTGTTTTAATAACCTCATACCATGATTACAATTTTATTTTCATGTATATATAGTTTCATATATATATAAATTTTTTTTTTTTTTTTGAGACAGAGTCTCGCTCTGTCACCCAGGCTAGAGTGCAGTGGTGTGATCTCGGCTCAGTGCAAACTCCACCTCCTGGGTTCACGCCATTCTCCTGCCTCAGCCTCCCATGTAGCTGGGACTATAGGCGCCCGCCACCATGCCCAGCTATTTTTTTGTATTTTTAGTAGAGATGGGGTTTCACTGTGTTAGCCAGAATGGTCTCGATCTCCTGACCTTGTGATCCACCTGCCTCGGCCTTCCAAAGTGCTGGGATTACAGACGTAAGCCACTATACCCAGCCTATTTTCTTATAAATGAAATGCAGAGATTTTCCTACAATACCTGGGCTAGGATTAGGAAAGAAAGTAGGAGAGAAAGGGTACTAAAAAAAAACCTGTGAGGAAGGACTGAGCTGGTGACTGCCTGCCTGGGCAGTGAAGGTGGTTCATGGTACTGCACATCTGTAACCCCAGAAAGGAAACCCAGATGACAGGGGGAAGATGTTTTGTGGCATCACTGAATCCTTTAGGGAGGAACACTTTATGATACTTCCCTTAGCAAAACATCATCTTGCTTGGTAAAAATAGTCATTTTAATTTTTATGTATTTATTTATTTTGAGACAGAATCTGGCTCTGTCACCCAGGCTGGAGTGCAGTGGCATGATCTCAGCTCACTGCAACCTCCATCTCCTGAGCTCAAACAATCCTCCCACCTCAGCCTCTCAAGCCCACCCTAAAAACATATTTCTATAATTAAAAAGACAGGCTGGGCACGGTGGTTCATGCCTGTAATCCCAGCACTTTAGGAGGCTGAGGCGGGCAGACCACTTGAGACCAGGAGTTCGAGACCGGCCTAGGCAACATGGCAAAACCCTGTCTCTACCAAAAATACAAAAACTAGCCGGTCATGGTGGCGTGTGCCTGTAGCCCCACTACTCGAGAGGCTGAGGTGAGAAGATGGTTTGAGCCCAGGGGCAGAAATTGTAGTGAGCTACGACAGAGCCACTGCATGCCAGCCTGGGCAACAGAGAGAGACTCTGTCTCAAAAAAAAAAAAAGAAAGAAAAAGGAAAAAAAATTAGCCGGGCATGGTGGCAAGCACCCGTGGTCCCAGTTACTCAGGAGGCTGAGGCAGAAGGATTACTTGAGCCTGGGAGGTCAAGGTTACAGTGAGCTGTGACTGCACCACTACACTCCAGCCTGGGCAACAGAGCAAGACTGCCTTAAAAAACAAAACAACAACAACAAAAAACAAAAACAGAAGCCATTCATACACTGAATTTTAGGGATCCCCTAGATCCCCCTGAAGTCTGCTTATTTAGCCAGGTAAGCCAGAACAGAGTGGTAGAGAAAGGCTATCAATAAAGAGAAGCACAATAAAAAATACTACCTAGGTTTACAGGTCATTGAAGAGTTCAGAAGACACTTTCCCAAGCATTATCCTTGTAACAACTCTGTAAGGTCACAGAGCTGGAGGCAGGGTGCAGCGACTTGCCTAGCCCATGGCAGGGCAGAAAGTGCTTGAAGTTTCTGAGGCCAAGCCCAGTGCTCTTCACATTTCCCATCCTGCTTCCCAGGAGGTTCCATGCAGATCCTGTGGGAATGGGCGTTTCTGCGCTTATTCCTCTGTGCATTCTTCATGAGTGGTTGGATTTCCATGGACTTCACTCTGCCAAAGAGTCCTGTGCTGAATCATATGAACTGCTGACCTTCCAATAAACCAGCATGATTTGCTAAGCATCTGCTCTTGTACTAAGGCAGGCGGTAAGGCCAGGCTAGTGGGTTAGAATCCTAGCCATGCAGCTGACCAGCTTGAGCATGTTACTTAACCTCCACCCAATGTATGAAAAGCGCATAGTCCAGTTCCAAGGACATGATAAAAGTTCAGTAATGCAGACTTTCATTTTCATTGAATCTTCTCCTGCTTTCTCTGGGACCGTAGCATTTAAAAAACCCTACCAATAAGAGGTCGATTCACGTCAACTTCATTTTCTTCTCTCCAAGAAAAAAAGTCACAAACACAGAAACAAAGTCAATGCCTTGTCCATGTGTGTTCCTGGGCTCAGCTAATGAGTCACCTGGTTGTGCACAGATCCACTGCTGGAATAATCAATCCCACCCCTGAAGCCAAGCTTACAATTTAAGAAAAAATTAGTAAGTGCCACTCGTCTTTCTAATCTCTTCTCACATGTGACTGACAAGCATCAGTCAGCACTGCTTGTACAAGTTACTGTTCTTCAAAGCTGGGGCAGGTGGGCCAAACGCCAAAATTACCTAAGCAGCTTGAACTCCTGGCGTTTTCCTCCAAGCCAGTGAAGGGGGGGAAAAATCTGCTATCAAGGGCTCCCCCTACAGGTACCAAAAAGCAAAGGCTAAAAAGAACTGTTCCCTTTCTTCTTTTGAAAGTTTCTAAGGCAGTCCTGAAACTGTAACTTTACTTGTTGACATAATCCCTTTTCCAAAACTCTGGCCAAAGAGTCTTAAGAATCTAAAGGACCAAGAATCAAGCAACCTCTTCCTCTTGAGGTACTCACCTCCCACCTATAAAGGACCTCCCAAATGTGATTTTGATACAAATAGAACACAAAACGACTCTAGAGCTGTAACACTATTTTTGATAGTCATAATTATGGCACTTTTGAGTTTTCTTGTAGCTTATTTCCATCTCATTTTTAGAATTAGTGTGTATTTGTGTGTGTGTGCATGAACGCACCAAAACAACTTCGATTCCGGACATAAAATCAACGACAGTTTTTAAACCGCTTGATGGAAGGTTTGAGGGAACTTTTATCATTTACTTATTTTGTGCTACATTTCAGGTATATTTAATTTTCTGGGTTCGTGGAATAAGTTCCATGAACAGGTTCGTAAATGGTTGCCTGCTCTTGAAGGCTTCAAAAAAAAAAAAAAAAAAAAAGACTTGGATGGATAAATAAAAAGTTTTCAAGACATAAAGGAACAGAGAGCTTGTTTCAAATTTGTGCTTCTATTTCTCTCTGAGGGATGGAAGTTCACCAACCAGAGATGCACATTTCCTCACAAAGGACACTCAAAGTTGTGCCCACAGAGACGAATGCTCATACGGGGACTCAGGAAGGACTGGGGTTCAGAAGAGGCTTGAGATCGTGTTATGACAAACAGCTGAAGAAAAATGGGGTACTCAGCCTAGGTAAGACCAAGGGGTGGTATGACAGGCTAACTTGGGAGGGCGACCAGCCTGTGTGGCCTCTCTAGAGAGCAGAGCTGTCAGAAGACAGAGTGGATCTCACGTTCAGGAAGAATGTTTTAATAATGAGCACTGCCCATAAAGAATAAGCTGCATAGGTCATGGGTGTATACCTCATCTCTGAGGGTGTTTAGGCGGGGCCTGGAAAGGCCAAATAGTGGGAACATTGAAACGACTCAAGAACTGGCAGAAAACGGAGGAGCCAGATTATATTTAACATCCTTTTTATTATTTTTTTTTTTTGAGACAGGGTCTCATTCTGTTGCCCAGGCTGGAGGGCAGTGGCACGATCTCGGCTCACTGCAACCTCCGCCCCCTCGGTTCAAGCGATTCTCCTGCCTTAGCCTCCTGAGTAGCTAGGATTACAGGCATGTGCCGTTACCGCCCAGCTAATTTTTGTATTTTAAGTAGAGGTAGGGTTTTACCATGTTGGCCATGCTGATCACGAACTCCTGACCTCAAATGATCCACCCGCCTCGGCCTCCCAGAGTGCTGGGATTACAGGCGTGAGCCACCGAGCCCAGCCTAAAATCCTTCTTAGCTCTAAAATCCTGAGACTGTATAATAAAACCCCAAACAACTTAACAGTCCTCTTGTTATAAGGCTGGTTGGTTACCATCCCCCAGAGTCATTAACATATCAAACAAAACATTTTGTGCTTCAAGCCCTGATTAAGCTTCAAAATAACTTTTCAAAATAAAAGACAACAAAATCAAACTGAAGTGCAGCCTATACCAGTGTCAACTTCCTTCCTTTAATGTTTACTATAGTTATGTAAGATGGAACCACCGGAAGAAGTTAAATGAAAAGCTGGGTGAAGGGTACGTGGGACCTCTACTATTTCTGCAATTTCCTGTGAACCTCTGATTATTTCAAAATAAAAAACGTTAAAAGATCAAATTAGCCCAGGCACAGTGGCTCATGCCTGTAATCCCAGCACTTTGGGAGGCTGAGGAGGGAGGGTTGCTTGGTGCCAGGAGTTCAAGACCAGCCTGGGCAACGAGATAAGACCCCTATCTCCACAAAAAAATTTTTAAAATACTGGGGCATGGTGGCATGAGCCTGTAGACCCAGCTACTCAGGAAGCTGAGGTGGGAGGATTCCTTGAGCCTGGGAGGTTAAGGCTGCAGTGAGCTATGATCAGGCTACTGCACTCCAGCCTGGG